AGTTGGTTTAATTGGGTCTGGCTTATCTAAAGTAGCACGGAATAAATATCTACATTATATGCACTTACTCGTCTAAAAGTAGAGATATCTCGAGAGCCTCATTAAGATGTGCAGGGGATGGTACAGACACCACCGTGGGGTATAAACTTGTGTGCTCTTCTTTAGAATTAATGCCACTAGAGAGTCGATGGGACCAATAGTTTGTCTGCTGTTTGTTCTGAACTCAACTTAATCCAACGCAACACAACTTTACCTAAACTCAACTCTACACAACTTTACCTAAACTCAACCCAACCTTATCTAATATAATACCAATTTAATCTTAAGTTCGTAGTAAAATTCCAAAGTAAAGTGTACAGGATTTGAAATTAGAAGAGTTTTTGGTTGAGTTTAGATTTAGATTTAGTTTAGATTTAGTTGGAAAGGCAAAGGAATGTTAGAATGGATTGAGTTAGAGATAAACGAGGCCGAGTCAATCAAAACACCGACCTAAATCAAGCAAATAAGATAGAGAAACTTTATTGAAGATAGTTGCTCATACTGAACAAGATCTTCTTTGTACTTGATGATATCATCAGAAGATCATAAAGTATAAATAAAGACGAAATCAATAAATACATTGTAGTTTCACCCCCAACCCAACCCAACTCAACTCAACCCAACCCAACCAAAACAAGTGTTAGTATTAAAACACCAACCCAATACTAAACACGTTGTTCTCATAATCAATAAATTGAGTCCAAGCCAATACTAATCCAACAACTAGTTCTAGGTATAGTGTAACTTAGTTACGCTCATATTATGTGCCATTCCCTGCCACCATATACCTAGAGTTGCTGGTTAGTCATGAGTAGGCTAAGAAGGACCACACCCCAACATCTATGGAGTCAACTAGAATGTTATGATACAGAGACAACCAAGGTGTTCCACACTATATACCCAATACTACCCCAATACTAACCCAAACCCAACCCAATACAACTTAAAGCAACTGACCAGCAACCAGACAAACCCATCTAAAAGAGATAAGACTAAATTAAAACCACCAACCAAATACCAACCAAACCCCAACTCAACCCAATACTAACTCAACCCATAGCACAAGGTCGATATACTATGCCCCATCATGAATCACAATATTTCTACAACAACTTAATAACAGCATAACCCAATACTAATACTAATTTCTCTTTTTCTTTGTTATGGCCGTATTAGGATCAGCGATACGTAGTGTGTTAAGAATCCGACCACCCCATACCGATAAGACTCTTCGTCTTAAGAAACACCAAGTTATTGTAGAAAAGAACAACCAAGAAATTCAATTCGTTTTTGATGACTGTTATGGTAGCAAAACAAGCCAGCAAGAGATATACCAAGTCGTTGAGCCTTATTTAGATAACATTGCTCGCGGTATCAATACCACAGTCATGGCCTATGGTGCTACAGGGTCAGGAAAGACCTATACAATGTCAGGCACCGATACATCTCCAGGCCTTGTGCCACGTATAGCTGCTTCTCTCTTTGGCAAGTACTACGAGACTTTATCCATTCTCTTCACCATCCGACTGAGTATGTCCTATATGGAGGTCTACAATGAAAAGGTCTACGATCTTCTCAGTGATTCCCGCGATCCTTTACCCGTACGTGAAGATGCCCAGGGTCGTGTAATTGTGCCCGGCCTAGAAGAGAAGAACTTAGCTAATTTAGAGGCTTTTAATACATATTACCGTGATGGACACCGGCGGCGCAAGATGCGACGGACTCTACTGAATACAGAAAGTAGTCGAAGTCATTCACTCCTAACCCTAATTGTATCTCTAGCCACTGATGTCTCTGTTTTACGCACTAAGATCAATTTAGTCGATCTAGCCGGTAGTGAGAATAATCGGCGGACTGGAAATGAAGGGATCAGTATGGTGGAGAGTGCTAGTATTAATCGTAGTCTTTTTGTACTTAACAAAGTAGTTGATAGTTTGGGTAAGGGCGAGTCTCGAATTCCTTATCGTGATAGTAAACTCACTCGTTTACTTAGTGATTCACTTGGTGGTACTAGTGACTGTATTTTAATTCTCACTGTCAGTGGTGATACTTCCTGTGAAACTTTAAGTTCTCTAGCCTTTGCTGGTAAGAGTCGTCAAGTCCGTCTTCTGCCTACACCGGAAAAGGTCCGAGCTAATCCCTGGACGCCCAAACCTTCAGCACATTCGCACGCCAAAGTAAGTTCTAAAGTCGCACTTAAAGCCAGTACTAAAACCCCAACCAGCAGCACCGGCACTAAATTCCAATTACATACATCCCAAACCAAATCTCATCCCCAGCCGCATCGCTCTATAACTCCAACCACATCCCTTTCCAGTCCAGCCGGCCCCGTAACAACACATACTCAACCAAGATCTAATCTACATACCTCTCCACCCAAATCAAACCCTATCCAGTATACTCTTGATGTTCTGATTGCGATTCTCAATAGCCAGGACTTTCTTAAAATCAAGTCTCTTCCTCAAATCGGCGATAGACGTGCCGATAAGATCCTTACCTTTTCAAAAACCACTAGCATTACTAACATGCAAGATTTAATTAAGGCTGGGATTCCCAAAAAGGTAGTACAATCCCTATCAGCCAGTGTGTCTAAGTAAATTTATTTGAGTATTCAACCTCGCTGGCAACTACTGCCACTACCTGAGGTAAGTTTCTTTGGATTCACAAACGAGAACTCTTCCAAATCGGGTTTTTTATCACTGCAACCAGCATCAAAGATAAGAGCTTTTTCAAAAGGCTGTGAAAACGAGAAGCTCTCCCCCACAATACTCTCAATAAAGGCCGAATCCTCAGCAAACAAGTCCAGTTCGTTGAAGTTGTACTCCATCCCGGTGGTCTTTTTACTTGGCTGAATGAACTTCTGAATGTGCGAGGTATACGAAGAGTCAGCCGTAAAGGGCGAAGGATTGGGCAGGTGCGAGTCTTTGAATAAATCAATCGTCATATCACTTGTCGGCTTTTCGGATATCTCAACTGGCTTTGGCGCCGGGTACGTTTTCTTCTCCTCGGCCTTGGCATCGCGAATGTAGGTCTTCAAAGCCCGTTTCTGCGGCATAAAGGCCTGTGGCCGCGGCCCTCCTGGCATACCGTACATGTACTTACTATATGTGTACAAATTGGTCTCGCGCCTTAAGTCTCTCTCCAGGGCATCACAGAACAAAGCATCATGCGGCACTGAGTACCAGAAGAAGACCTTCTGTTTCTTTTGAGTGCGAATACACCCATTCTTGTAAAGGAACTCCAAGAAGTCCGATCTTGGCGACTCTAGAATAGCATCAATCCCAGGCTTGAGGTTGCGCAAGTCTGAGAAGACGCCTTCCTCAAACTTCTTATGACTGGTAATATGCCGACCTGCGTTCTGAAATCGCCAGACCAGAATCTTAACAATGTCTGTTCCCGTTATATAGAAGTGCATGTTCCAAAGAATGCAATGAATATAGTCGCCATTCTTCAGCTGGTATTTGCGAATCCGCTCTCCTTCCCGAAACTCCTTTGGGGCGTTGGCCAGAAACTGAAATAGCTCTGTGTCGCCTTGCTCGCCTAGCTGGTTATAGTGCATAATCAATACTCGGGCCGTCTTTATATACTCTGGCGTGAAACAGTTTCATAGAGACCGTTTCGCAGGATAGCAAATAAATAGAGACCACTTGGTTGAATACCCTATTTATTTCGGCTCTTCTTTTTTGCCGATGGAAAGTGAGAAGATAGGCCATAAGAAAGCCCGTCTGGGTGTTTTATCTTTAGTTCCTGATGCAGTTAGTGAAGTTCTTAAAGATGGCGTTAATTTACAGGAATTCCGAAAACGAGGGCAAATAATCAACAATAGCCACAGCCAGGCCATTGATGCGGCCTTAGCGACTATACCTACCTATCCCCAGACTGTGGCATCTGCCCATTCGACCGTCAATCCTTCCTCTGTTCGTCCCAGTCCAATTATAACTACATCCAATCCTAATGCGAATGTTACACTGACCCAATGGACGATTAAGCTAGTGCCAGATGAAGATGAGCTCTGGATTGTGGTGTTGGGTCTGATTAAAGGCAGTGAGAAGATCATTCAAAGCTCATTTATCAAAAAGCGGATATCACCCCATTGTGTGATGAGTAAAGGTACAACTTACATTCTGGATGGACAGTTTGACGATTCTATCCCGCCTTATCCTAACTTCCGGGCGGCTACTATGAAGAAGTTCCAGACTGGGTTTCCTATGCACTGGCAGTCTATCATTCGCACTGAGATTGCGTATATTGAGGCCAAAGAGAATCAAGAGGAGGGTAATGGCCATGTCAATAGCAGCAATAGTGCCAATGAAGAGCATGCCCTGCCGGCCAAGACCAATAAGACTTCTCGGCGGCGCAAAGCCTAGCTATGGATGCGGAGGCATTTACTATCTTAATACACACACTCATAATAAATCCGTTTACTCGCTGTTGAGTTATTGTCTATTCAAATACGATTTAGATAGGCATATTTGGACCAGTTTAGTCTTATTACAGCATAGTATTAGATTGTGTTGGGTTAGTATTGGGTTTGGTTAGGGTTGATATTGGGTTGGTTGGGTTAGCATCCTAAATAGATGCAAAGCTAACACAATAGTAGTTCGTGATGGCCGGCGCGGAGAAAGATAGGGTTGGGTTTAGGGGGCAATCACTCATTAGTTAATTGAAGCCGGCCGATAATTACTCAATAAACAGAGATTAATAGTTAAGTAATTGATAAGGAAGCGTTGATTTATTGGCTTGGGCTAGTGTTTGGATAGTGTTCGGATAGGATGGCTTCTTAGCAAACAAAACATTGTTGGTCTTATTAGCTGGATAAAAGTAAGATTGGGTTAGTATTGGGTTAGAAGTAAGGATTTAGAGTTGGGTAGATGTAGAGTTGACTTTATTGTGCTTAGTTGGAAGTTAGCCGTCTATTTACTCCAGCTGTCTTGACAAGAAGGAATTTAGACAAAGTTACACATACTTGGTAAACAGGGCGGCCAAATATCTCTCCAAAGCAAACAATGCAAGGGCGGAGAGACGTTTGACGCCTTACCACAACCAATAATAAATGAGTTAGTCCTTTCTACGCCTTAATGTGCAAAGTCGGTCCTAATTTCGAGACTCGACTTAAGTTGAAACAGAACTAAGTTATGGTGAAACCATCATAATCTGTTTTACCGCCCGGCCCAGTTGCGCTTTATCGTTCCAGGTATGCTAAATCGGATGGGCTTACGGCCAATTATTTACTACTTATCATATAATTGTAACAACTCAGATGGGTATACTTGGTAATGGCTGCTTAACAAGGACAAACCAGACCGGCTGTTGGAAATGCCAGGAAAGCCATCAAGTAGGTATGGGCTGAGAGTGATATGTATTTGATTGAATTAGTATGTGGTTGAATTAGTATTTGGTTGAATTGGTATGTGGTTGAATTAGTATTTGGTTGGGTTGGGTTGGTATGTGATTGGTCAAAACATGCTATTGGGTTAGTATTAATTGTATTGTGTCCTGCCCATGGAAGGGAAAGTTCCTCTTAGTCACTACTAACTCGATCAAAGACTTTGTAGCAACCGAAGCTTCTAGACTTTTATTCAGGCAATCAGATATCTTAGACGATTGGTTTCCAAAAAGACCTAACTTAACTGCTCTGCAGCATCCACAAGTATGCCTTGCACCAGCCCCTCTCTACACTGCCGTATCAACCTAATACAAACCCAATATTAATTGCTTCTATTTAATTGCTTATCTCTGAACTTTCAATAAAGATAGGCCCATTGTCTCTGTGGCTCTTATTTCATAGTAAAGTCGATATTTATTCAAGCATCTTATTAGTTCAAACTCCTATTCTATTTCCTTCAACAGTTAAGGATTGGGAATTCTAATACACAACACATTTCCTATCGGCGCAAACGTCCCTTTTGGCCATTTTCTTTTCTGGGATTTGATTAGTTAGAGAGTAATGGCGATTCTATCGGTTAAGACCATATATTTTACAGCAACTAAACGTTGGATTAACATCGCATTATGCCTTTTGCTTGTCCTGCTAAGTGTTGCTAATGCATCAATCAAGAATAAGGCGATAAATATGCTATTCCAGTCAAATCTGGCTGTGTCAGATACAATATGCAACCAGTTGAGGTCGATTGGATTTAAATTCGATTGCTTTGCATCAGTTACACTTGCTAGACCCTTAACCCTCAAAAGATCATTGAACCCTGCCTTAGAAGCTAATCCGCCAATAGCACCAGCTAATGCTTTACTCAACCAACCCATTTACGAGGTAAATTGTTTCGATGTACCACTCCACTTTACTTTATCGAATTACGTTGATATACGCACGGCAAATAAGTCTTTGCGCCAACTAAGAACTGTTGCCGTCATTAAGTCTAGGATTGCTTTTATTCATTGTGCACCAGGTAATTCTGATTGCCATCAGATAAACATGCAGATTCTATCCCGTGTTATCAATATGATTGATGCTAATATAGTGAGTATTTACCTGGACAGGACTGAATATAGGAACTTGATAGATTTGGACTTATGTCGAGCAGAGGCCCAGAATACAGTTGATTATGCAGTTTATACGTCGGAATTTACACCCCATTTTTCTGCTCTAGCCAATGATAGATTTCCAGATGTGATATATCGGGGTATTGTTTTCCGGCGGCCAATTACATCTATCTTTATGGCGGGCAACAGAATTCAAAATACGTCTTTCCTTAGCCAACTGCCTTTGCAAGAGGATTACAGTTTCTCCTTTCTAGCCCTGCCTAAAGTAGTTGAGATTGATTTTGCGGTGCTTCAGATGTTATCGGTCAAATGTAGTCAGATTACTATTATGAGCAGTCCAGGAACTAAGCTTACGATAACTGGTCTGGACAATGCTATAGACAAACATCCGTCGCTGACTCTAAGAATTCCCTGGAATGCCTTGCAATACCTGGGGACATACAACCAATCAGCAATCCGGGTTTATAATATTATAGATCTTGACCCCATCACAACTTCTAGTGCATCAGAATTTCAATCTGCTGAAGAACCAAAATCTTCTGAGTTTCGAATCTTTGCCACGCAAATTACCGTTGAAATCGCCACCAATATGCCGTGCTGTTTCGGAGAATACTACAAACAAATCTACACTCTGCAAGCCTACGCTAAATATGGTCTCGAAGCCAATGAGGTCCTGGTATGTTATGGGGAGGGTCGAACTGATTTGGAGGACACCCTAGAAGCACTTTCTAATATCAATGATTTTATGAAGGTGCCTATTGACATTAAGGATGAAAGTGTTGTATGTTGCGGCGATGCACTCAGTGAACCTAGCTGGAAACTAAAGCAGAACATCGAGATCCAACTTGACCATTGTAGAATCCACAATTGGCTTAGAAGGTGTAAAGAAGAAAAGATTCACTTCTGCCAGAATATACACTACCCAGCGATCGAAATCATTGGGGCCGAAGTACCATACAAACAGCAGGTTAAAGCATGCATTGACATTCTAATTCTATTTCATAATATCTCCGCCAAGACCCTTCGTATTTCTAATGTTCGCAGTAACAATCAAACCACCTCGAGGTTTAGTATGGCTACTCTAAAGTCTAATGCGGCCAAATACACTAAGTGGAACCTCAAGGTCGAAACTTTAGTGCTAGATAATGTCGATGACCAGATCATTTACTGGATGCTAGGTCACTACGACTTTACTGAACGCACCGAAGTGCATATTCTAAACGCAGGGTTCTCTAACCTTGCTATCACTCAAGTTCTTTCTCTTCCAGTAGGCCGCCAGATTGCAACGATCTTGATCAATGACTTCCTCGGACTAAATGAGGTTAAATATTTCGTCCAACGCGAACAAATCAAAGGCTTCTCACTATTCAAATACGTTGCAGACAATCCAGCGAAAGATCTTGGCCTGAACAAACTATCTTTACTGCTAAATGATATTGAACTAGGTTTATACAGTGCGATTTTGCGAGAGTTTGTGGGCTATGGCCTTCATATTCCGGCCATGCCTTTCAAGAATTACATCAAACTTGCACCTACTAACCCCGGCCCAGCTGATATAGCAAACAAAAAGAGGTTGATTCTTTACAACGCCACTCTCGAGGCCATAAAGTCCGATTTTGTCATCTGCCAAGCCACGAAAGACAGCGTTCAGCTGAATTCCATTGCCAATCTGCTTGTGCGTTTCAGCGATAGGCAGACATTAACTGAAGCGTGTGTGGCGACTATTATCCGATGGGCAGCTTGTCGATTTACAAATCTATCTACTTTGCGGCTGATAAATACTGAGATGCCAGAGAGCGAGCAGAATAATATAACCGCCCGTGACTATTTAATCCGTAAGCTAGATTTACTCAATAGCATTACAATCGAATCAATCGACCCAAACACTCCGCCAATCGAACTACTAAGTCGTCCACTTCGCATCAGCTCTGTAAGCAATGCATCTAACACGACACCCATCTCTATTCTCATGTCATCTGCCTTGGCGTCCCAACTGGCTTGTCATCCCGATCAGCTTGATAGTCTTACATCCAGCAGCCATAGCACGGTTATCTCATACCAAAAGGTTATCGAAGACCTCAAACAATCCAAGCAAGACAACAACTTCGTTTGCCCGGCCTGCAGGGATGTTCTTAACTTACCCGAGGCGGCAAAGGAACCAAAGCTAGTTCCCAAAGAGACGTTTGCAACAATTTACTATCTCACGTGTGGCCACAAGCTCTGCAATGGCTGTGTAAAACAAGTTGACCGGAACAAAGGCTGCGTAACTTGTAGAAGAGCCGATGCCTATGAAGCCATGCACCAACTTATCAGTGCTCCGCTATCTAATTTTGTGTTTGTTAAGGATAGTGTGAACACCTCCGCCGAAGAACC